TGGTGTATAAAATGCTGGGACTCATTTTAAGGTAACACCATTGTTTGAAGCTTTTCACAGCTGATGTTACCTAATAACTGGATATTTTTGCCTTAAAATCATTTTTATGTTCAGTAATACCTCAGAATCCAAGCTCGAGACATATTCATTTGTCATGTGAACATATTTTATTCAAACTACTTTTTTCATTGTTCAGTCATTGTTGATCCGGCTGTAGTTCTGCTGCTGGTCACGCCGACAGGCTGTGTTGTCTTCACAGGGCATCATGTGCAGTGCACACTTTGAGGCTCCCTTCAAAGAGCATTCACGTTTCACATCATTCACATCATTGTACAGAAACCATTTTTTAATTCAATCAGCCAGGCGAGCGCCAGGCAGCCGAGGGAAGCCTTCACCTTCACGCCTCACGTGTCTGATGTTCTGCAGGGAACAGAACGAGTCTTTCATCCTGCACTCTTTTCCCCTTCCTCTCCTCCTCTTCCTCAGCATTAACAACACAAATATGTGTGAGAGAACGAAGGAAGGAGACGGGCAGAAGCACAAGACCATACGGTCACTGGCTCCTAATCTCAGTCATGTGGGAGAAACTTCAAACTGAGAGATTCTCGTGCCCAAAACAGTGACGCCCACCACGCTTTCCCTCCATCCTGATGAACTGGAGACTATATGAAAGAACCCATTCTATGAGTTCCCATCTATAAGAACACCTTTATTCTTCATTCAATGCTCTGTTATATAAAGTTCAGTGACCTTAAACTTTAACACTGAATGAAGCAAAAAGACATCCTGTCATAATATAAAATAAAATTGTAATTAACTATAATTAAGCAGGAGGACAAAAGAAAAGAAAGCCTTTGTTTTTGTGTCAAACTCCTTCCATTAGTGACAGAACGATCAGCCTGTCGGTCACTTTAGCAGCTGGACTTGAGTTATACTGTTTGCACACATGCAGAATGCACTGCTGAAAAAAGACACAGAAGTCATCTGGATGGTGTGCATGTTGCTCCCTGTCGGCTGATTCACTATCAGAGGCCCATAATGCACACAACGTCATTTCTTCCTCAGCTCATTCTTCACAGAAACACATCTGTCTGTAATGCTGTGGCCACAGATCGCAGCCACGCAGGGCTGGGCTTCAGCTTTCTTACAGGACTGACTTCTAATGACCTCTAATGATATATTACACTTTCTGTGCAACTTTGGAGATTTATGCTTGAAAACATTGGTTCAATATTTGACAGTTTGCCAATTTTTTTAAAAATATATAAAGTTTAGCATGCTAACGTGCTAGTATGTGTACATACTTACATTTTTACATAAAAGCTAAAAATAATGTGAATTTCTTTTGT